AACATGCACTGCCACGCCGAGCTGAGGCTGAGCACGCCCGGCCAGCTCAAAGCAGCCAGGCGGCGCTACAAGACCTTCATGATCGACGAGATCCTCTCCAAGGAGACCTGCGACTACTTCGAAAAACTTTCCCTCTACTCCGTGTGGCCGTCGCTGGTCGTGCGCCCCAAGCCCTTGCATTCCTGTACAGGTAAGTCGCCCCGCTGGGAGCCTGTGGGCGCCGCAGTGCTCACACCCGCGCGGCTGCCCCTGCTTTCTGACCCCGGGTGAGAGGAGAGGGCCACGGAGTCTTCTCCCGCGCCCCTGCAAGGGGACGAGCGTCGCCAGAGGTGAGCAGTGCAGAGGGACAGCCACTGGGCCCGAGAGGGCCATGCAAGGTGCCTGGCGCAGATCCGAAATGGAGCAGAGGCAGCAGGCCCTGGGCGCCAGCCGCTGGTGAGACACTCGTCGCCTGCCTGGAGGAGACCTCCCTCCTCCCTGCACTACTTTGGTTTCAGTCAGAAAGTTCAGACACTTAACCCAGGGTTCTGCCGGGCTTCAGCTCAAGCTGCCTGGCTTCTCACCTCCAGTTACTTGTCCAACCTCCGCTGTCTCCAGGAAGCTTACAGGGGGGTTAGCACACTCTCCTTACAGCGACCTCCCGCCCTCCTCCGGGAAGGAGTTCCGGCTGTACTTTCTGGTTTGTGGCACAAGTGCAGGAAGTCAACCAGGTTGGTCTTAAGGGCCTAAAATCCGCAGTGGGACAATAAAACACCCTCAGGTCTGGTGTTCTCTATCAGAAGAGCTAAGATCCGTAAATAAAGAGATAATGAATACATTGGAAAAAGTCACGGATTTATGTAGAAACCAACCCAAAGGCGAGAAGCGCCAGGTCTCACGTTATTCCCGGGGTTGGCATTTAGGCTGTGGAATAGGGGTATAGTAAAAGAAGAAAAGAGTGGAAACAATGTTATTAGGAGTTACTATGTTTTCCACTAATGGTAAAAGTGTAATATTTCCAAACCAAAAGGAACTTTGAAGTTAAGTTTGTGGCAGTGGTGGCAAAGGTTAGTGAAACGTCACCCCAGAGCTGCCGGTGCCCGCTGCTTGCCATCCTGTGTTTCTCGTGGTTCTGTTGGTAGTGCCTTTGGGACAACCAGAAAATACGTACTACATACACGTGGAGAAGTCCTTCCACAGGCAGTTGGCGCCTTCATGTACCTAGTTAAAAATGAACGCGGTATTCAGGGCCACCTTTTAAAAGGAAGTTTGTCTGTGAGGTGGAATTCGGCCTGTTCCCACGGCCTGCTCTCAGCCTTGTGAGACTGAATTTTAAAAACCAGGAAATTCTTGAAACAGGGAACAGTAAGAAACGTAGAAAAGGTTCTAAAAGCTCTGAAAGTTTCAACCTTGGGCTTGATGTTTTTGCATCTGTGTGCCCACCAGGTGTGGGCTCTTGGAGGAAGAGGGCAGGCGGGCTGAACCTTATTTTGACAACCAATGGTCGTGACAGTAATTGCAAGCCCTCAGCGGGGGAAGAGAGGCTTTGTGTCCGTCATAAATCTCAGTGCTCCTGGATGAGACTTCGCCTACTCAAGGTTTCTGGAAGAAAACAAAAAGGCTTCTCCTAGGTGCCTACGTAGAGTGACTTTGCCCACGTTCATTCGAAGGGAGCTTTTCCTGGCCTATAGGCGGCACGGAATTGGATCGCAGGAGACAACACGCCTGAAAGAGTAATAAACAGCCTCAGAAATTAGTCACCCACCCAGTCACGGCCGAGGAAGCTCTGTGTTCACTGCACCTCGTGTGAGAAATAAATCAAAGGCGAAGAACACGATTCATCTGTGGTGAAGGCTGAGCGTGGTCGTCCCTCTGGGCTTCTCCCGGCTCCTTGCTGGGTCCAGGCAGAGGGTGGTCGATGGCGGTTTTCTTGCCTAGTCTCGCTCCAGAGCTCTCCTCCTTCAGGTTGTTCTTTTGAAAACGTGTCGGGATTTTGCTCTATTGAGATTTAAAATACAGAAACCAAGACCTGCCCGTGGAAGAAAGCCGTGACAAGTGGCTACAGGAGCTCATCCTTTCAGACCCAAGCCTCCGGTGGGCTGACGGTTCCAGTCAGAGCCTGCGTGTATGAGATCGTGCGAATCCATTAGTGACTTCTCGGAGTTTTGCAAATACTGTATTTCAAAGCATTTTTGTTTTTAAGTTACATGAAGGATCAAAATCTTAGATTACATGGATATATTTTTATTAATTAAAAAGGACAGTAAGTTTCTGGTATCCATAATAAAACTGTGTGTACATGGATGTATGTCTATGACTGCGTGTGCACATAGGTACATAAATACTAGATACATAAATGCTAGATACTTCGGTACGTAAATACCAGCTAGACAGCTGGGTGAGGTAAACCTTCGGAGCTCTCGGTGGAACCGATGCACACAAAGTTCAACTGAGTGGTTGCGAGAAAGGCACGTGTGCAATGAAGAGTACTGAACTGTTTCAACCTTTGGTTTGCCAAAGGTTTAAATAACTCTCACAGTACTGGCCAGTGTCAGGTAAAACTAATGAAAAGTAAGGTAGAAAATTGCCTTGGAATTAAGAAAAAGTTTGGCATACATGAGAAATGCATAGAATTAGGGTGGGGAAATAAACCTGCAGTATTTAAAACCTCTATGTAATCGAGCGTTCCCTGTTGTTTAAATTCAGTAAGCCAAATGCCAACTCATGGTACTGAATCTCCTTAGGCAGAATGTGTGTTCAAGTAAACGGAGAAATGAGAATGTTTCTCATCAGATAACACCTGGCAGTGACTTATTACGAATGCACAGACCCTGACGGGATGCTCACCGTCACAAAAACACTGTTTACTTTACCAGGTCTTCTCTGATTATCAATGCAGTCATTTCAGTTCTAGAAGGCAGTCTACATTTCTCTAAGTCCCTGTAGGTCTCTTACCTCGTTGAAGTAGACATTGGAAAAGGGAATCCTTTCCTTCTAACCCTAATTAAGGGAGACTTTATCATGACATTTAAAATGAAAGATATTAAGCCTAAAAAAAGCCTTGTTTTGGAAAAATATTGTTATTTGGACCGTGCGTGAGAAGTAGATGTGTTTAGAATTAACTTGGTGTGTGTAACAGAGTGATCTTCTTTTAAATCAGTAACTATAATCTCCATCCAGACGGGAACCTTCCGCCTTTCAGAGCAGTAAGGTCGTCTCGTAACAGGAGAATGCTGACAGTGTTTGAAAAGACCAAGACGGAGGTGCACTTTCTGCCCGCATTGCACTTGGGGTGCTTTTTTTCCCCTGGTTGTCATGAATGTTCCCTGCTGGAAAAGCCACCGGACAGAGCTGGCTTCTCAGGGGGCATACGCTGCAGCGCTGTCGGCACCGTCACGCTGAAGGCTCTGCCTTTCAGTCTACAGTTAAGAAATAGGCAGTTTCCAAATTTGAGAAGTATCTGGAAAAAAAGAGTAACTTGCTCCACAAAAACAAGGCTGCAAACGAGTCGCCCTGAGTTTTCACAGGAGGGTACCGACAAGCAAGCCGGCCGTGCTGACTACTCGACCAGCGCCCTTTACTACGGGAGCCGAGACTGAGCCTCCGTGAGCACGTGCGTGTTTGTGGGCGGGTGGCTTTTCACAGCCCGGGACTCGCCATTTGTTCAGTTACAACCCGCAGTCAGTCCTCTCCCTCGCCCGGCGGCCTGGCAGGACGGCTCGGCCAGGTCTGCTGGCGCCGGTCAGCGGTCAGTCCTGCGGGGCTGACAGTGACGCCTCAGAGCGGGAAGGGGCCATGGAGGTCAGAGACTGAGCTCCTCGCCGAGAGGTCCCTCCTGTGCAGGGCCAGGGCATGACCATGCTGCAGCGGAGTTTTAGACCCTCTTGTCAGGGACCCCGAAACCAGGAAGACTTTTCAGCTTGGTTACACACTCGGGACAAACCTGGGCAGTCACACCCTGGGGATGGTCAAGCAGCCAATTAAAAGGGGCATTTGGGGCAGGGTGGCATTGAGAACATTTTATCCTTTGGCGGGTCCAAGAGAAACACGTTCTGTGGGGTGGTGTCCTTGGGTGCGTTTGTACCTCGGAGCCGGGGTGTCATGCCAGTGAAAAATGAAAGGCGGTCCGGATGTGTGCCACGTCCCAGAGCTGGGGAGCTGTGCCGGCTTCCTGCACCCCCCGGCTCCGGTGACTCCGAACCGCAGCTGGGTCTTTGTTCTTTTAGTTGGAGACCAGAACTGGTAGGATCTAGGGAACCCGAGACCTGGGCCCTGGAATGTTAATGGAGGATGTAAACCAGGGTCTGGGAAAATGATCGTTATCAACACGCATTTGTCTTTCTGCCAGAGAAACACAGGCTTTTATTAGCCATTACTCATAGCGGCTTTGGTTCCCATTCGTAAATAAGTCGAGGGACGCCAGGAGCCGGGACTCCTCCACGTCCGTCATGTTTGGACTTGAGCTCTTTGAGGGTCCTTGGCTGCCGGCTTGTTACCCCTGAAGTTGGTAACCCCTTCCTCCGATGGAGATGCCGCGACCCCTCAGGAATCGGTTTTAACTGTGAACAGTGGGTCAGCATGTCTCCTCTGGCTCCCGTTTTTCTAATACGAAATGGAAAAATGATTTGAAATTTGATTCACAAGGTAGAATGCCTCTTCTAATGTCTATCATCTTCAGTAGCATTTGTTTCAGTTATATAATTTGAAAAATATTAATGTTTGTTAGTTATGGCATGCAATTGAGTTCATTGTGTTTAAGCTTATTCTAAACTTTTTTTTTTTTTTTTTTTTTTTTTTTTTTTTTTTTTTTTAATACTGGAGACCATATGCGTGCACCAGAGAGAGAATCCCCACAGGGACCTGGTCGTACTGGGGTTCTTTCTCCTCCAGTTGGCCATCCCAGCAGGGTCCTGGACGTGCACACATGTCCCAGAATGTTCTTCCTGACTGGCTGGGACTCGAACCCTGGCGGCCACGTGGGATCCGGCTTCCTATGTGCAGTGCTTAACTGCTGCTCTGGGTGCTCATGCCTGTTCTCAAGCTTGACTAGCAGTTGGGGTGTTTTCAAATCCCCCTAAACTATATGTGGAGCCCGTGCCACGCCCTTCCTTGTTCTCTGGAGAATCTGACCTGCAGTTTGAGATCGGGAGAGAGGAGCGTTTGGACAGTTTAATACTTTTGCTTGCCACTGGGAGTTCCCTCTGAACTCCA